GAGTATTATTTTTCTCCCTACAAAAGGAAGAATCAAAGAAACTATAGTTACCAGATTTAAATTTTAATATTTATTTCTGATTATTTTCTAAAAGAGGAGAGAGGGATAATGGCTAGTAAGACTTCATGATAAAACCAAATGTAGACAAAATATCAGAGTCTGGAAAAGTAAAAAAGAAGGAAACCAGGAACAAAGTAGTTAATAGAAATAGTAACATTCTCTCATCAACTGTTTTGTATTCTAAAACTCTTTTTTCAGGTATTCTGCAGGTCAAAACACATCCTTGCTCAGAAAAATCAGAGTGTCAGCTAGGACAGCTATAAAGTAGATGCCACACATGACTGGGTTTTAACCACTGCTCATAGGAAATCTTGATGACATAAGGACATATATACATCAGTGCTCTATGTGAAGATAACTTGGTTTCCATCTACAGTTTTCTGACAGCAAGCATTTGAGTGGCATCAAATGGGTCAGAAATAGAGCTTTTCTGTCCTCTTTCTGTGTCATTTGTCACAGGGGAAAGCATTCCTATGTTACCAGCTAGTTGTTTCACTTCTTTGTCTCCTTGTACTTATCTTCTAAACGGATTCTGAAAAAAAAGAGATTGGTGAATGGAAGAAAAGGTTTTAAATTGTTTTCTGGCATCTGGCAAAGGACTTGAATAGAGCATGTCTTTTGGCTCTGATAAACACTTGTAAGCAGACGTCTAATGAGGAGACGCTAGTGTTTTTAATCCTCTAATTAGGCTCTATCTTAGTCTGTCTTACTTTCTGAATCCTATCTCTAAACAATAGCATCAAGTGTCTATCTTTGGATGGGAGCTAAGTGAATAGAGGTCTATCCTCGGTTTGGGAAGCGTTCTGAATATGAAGGTTAATAGCACCATTCTTACAGAAAAAAAGATAATCCATTTCCCAAATTGGGAATCCACAGAAGATGCTTGAGCTAACCAAACATTCCTTAATCATTTCTAGTCACTTAACTAGTCTATTCATGCAACTAGTCACTAGCCATGTTCTATTTAAAACAGCCACCACTAATCAGAATTACAGTTTCTCACCTATGAGCTAACATTAATTCAGTTATTTTGGTTGGCATATTTTCTCATGCTTGTAGGCACATTTGTCTGAATATCTGAAATGATGATCTTGTTTGTATTACAGAGCTCTTATTTGGAAGACAATGAGTCAGCAGCAATACTTTGCTGTGAATGTGGAGAATCAGAAATCTTTATTGATTTCAATGTACGTAGGTATATGTCTTTATACATATACAAATAACATACAGCCTTTGGTGATTAATTTTTTAATTAATTTTTTGGGGGTGGTAAAATTGGCTCATAATGCAACTAATGTAGTGCCTATTATTTCATCTATTTGGCCTTACTCAGACACAGTATAGGAAGACAAATAGGTGACTCAGAGTGAGTGTGGTGTGTGTGTGTGTGTGTGTGTGTGTGTGTGTGTGTGTGTGTGTGTGATCCATACCTACTGTGCTATATTTACATGCATGGTAATCTCTACTCAAGGCATATCTATCAAAGTAATAAAATGTTGAATACTGGAACTTTTAATATATCTCCTTCTATAATTGTCTATAAGACTATAATTGTCAGGCTGGAGAGATGGCTCAGGGGTTAAGAGCACTGACTGCTCTTCCAGAGGACCTGAGTTCAATTCCCAGCACCCACATGGCAGCTCACACCTGTCTGTAATTGCAGTTTCAGGGGTCCTGACACCCATGGCAAAAACACCAATGTACATAAAATAAAATATATAAAAAGAGAATAAATGTAAAGCATTAAAAAAAAGACTATAATTGTCTTTGCCCCTGCCATGGATATATTTTGTTGTTGTTTCTAGGGAGCTTTATTACACCACAAGTTTTTCTTTCTCTGTGTTTTGTTTTCTTTTTGTTTTTTGTTTGTTTTGCTTTGTTTTGTTGAGACATGTTTTCTCTGTGTTGTAGTGGCCCTGGCTGTCCTGAAACTTACTTTGTAGACCAGGCTGGCCTTGAACTTATAGAGATCCACCTGCTTCTGGCTCTCAAGTGCTAGAGTGCTGAGATTAAAGATGTCCACAACTACCGCTGACTCCTTTTCTTTTTTAATTTAATAACACATAGGCTCAAATTTGGGCTGTCCGTATACTTCTGGATGCAAGACCATCCACTGAGTCTACCAGGAGCCACACCCTTAAAGAAAACTCTCCCTTCCCCAGAAGTCATCAGCTGTCCATAGCTCCTCAGTTTGGGAAGGGAGCATATGAACCCCTTCCCACTCCATGTGAAAATACTGAGTTGCTTGAACCTGTGCAGGTTGTGTGTAGGCATCCACAGCTGCTGTGAGTTTGTGAGTGCAGCGGTCCTATCACGTGCAGAAGACATTGTTGCTCTGGTCCTCCCCAACCTCTGGATCTTACAACCCCCTCTCCCAAAATATCCCCAGCCTTGGAGAGGAGATGTGATACAGATGTCCATTTTTGGCTAACCACTCCATAGTCACTTACTCTCTGGACGTTGACCAGTTGTGAGTTTCTGTGGTAACCATCATCCATTGCTCAAAGAAATTTCTCTGATGTGGCCTGAGAGCTGCATTAATCTACCAGAGAAGAGATACTAATTTAGACGGAAGTTTGATACTATGTTCATTTATATATTTTTCTTTTTAAAAAGGGCACATTTTATTATATGTACATGAGTATTTTGCCTACATGTATGTATTTTCACTATGTGTATGCATGTGCCTGCAAAGGTCAGAAAAGGGTACCAAATCCCCTAGAACTGGAGTTACAGACAGTTGTGAGCTACCTTGTGGGTTCTGGGAACTGAACTCAGACATCTTGCGTATAGTTGTTTCCCTTTTCCAATAGCACTTACTTAGTATTGGTGTTGCCACCGAGCCTTTATTCCTTCCCTATATACTGTGTCCTGACTATTGATAACATAAAGCCAAATAAGGTGATTATTACTGGGGTGTAGAGCATTAAGCTATATTTCATGAAATGGTTTATATCCTATTTATCCCAGCTGATCCTCAGCATAGTTACTGAAGGAGTCAGTCTGGAATGGCTTATTTTTTGTGCATTGTGGTGGGCAGTAACATTAATCTGGAGATTCTTAGATACAAATAAATTCCTCCTGAATGCTGTGAAGCCTAGTTGCTCATACAAATTGCAATAAATGGATTCTGGAAATTGTCACCACTAGTTTTCCCATCCTAGCAGCCACTTCCAAATTACCACACAGAGGCTTATATTAATTGTAAATGCTCAGCTGATCGTGCAGGCTTATTACTAGCTAACTCTTAAACTTACATGAACCCATGTTTCGTATGTAAGCTTTGCCATGTGGCCTGGTACCTTTTCTCAGTAAGGCATGTCCATCTTGCTCTCTCTACATCTGCTGGCTCCTCTGACTCCTCTCTCCTTCTTCCCATCATTCTCAGTTTGGTTTTCCCACCTAAGTTCTGCCCAGCTATCAGCCTGTCAGCTTTTTAGTAACCAATGAGAGTATGCATATTCACAGTGTATAGAAGGATTATTCCACAGCAGGAAATATCTTGCAGGGAAGGAAATGATTACAAGAGCTGTGACTAGGGAAAATGAATAAAATGTCCACTGAATACATATCTAAAAAAGAAAAGAAATCCTTGGCCTCTGTTCTATGCTTCTCCTGTAATCCCAGATGCCCTTTCTTATCTCCCTAAGTCTTAGTGCTTTTAGTTATGCTCTTCTTTGTCATGAAGCTTGTTCGGAGTTGGAATGGCACTGGGAGAAAAGATTTTATGAAGACATTTGTGATTGCCATACTTACAGGGAACTGGGCTGCTCTTGTCAAACCAGCTCCAACTACCATTTTATGGGTGATCCAAGATTACTTGGTATCAAATTGAAGCTTAGAAGCGTGACAACCATTTTTCCACTTAGAAATTTGTTCTGTGTCTAGGCTATATAGTAAGTCCTCCTTAATAAATCCTAAAAATTATAGTTAGTATAACATGCTGAATTACAATATTCTTTGAATTGATTTTGACTGACCCCCCCCAACACACACACACACACACACACACACACACACACACACTTTTACTAGTTATGGTTTCTTCCAATACAAAGCTGTGACAAAATTAGGACATACAACTTAAGTTCTATGTGTATCAGATGTTTATTGTAGGTCATAGCAATCATGGAAACAACATGTCTTGGAGTTGCTTCTCAGGTTTACATTGCAACTCTCCTTACCCTTTATCTTCATGGTACAGTTTTAGGACCTTCTTTACTAATTATATTGATTCACCTGGTTGAACTTCATTCCATCTTGATGAAGAGTCTGGAATGGCATGAATTCAGTTTTGTGACTCATGAGTAGCTGGAGTGGTGCTCATTTCCTTAGTGCTTACAAACATTAACTGATGAATGTACACAAACACTCTTTTATCACTATTTTGAGACGACAGACTGAGTGTGGAAAGGTTATAAGATAGTTCAGTGTTTTGTGATAAGCAGGGACAGCGCTGACATCACATCTCAGCTGACAGCTATCAGTGAGCTCATTACCAGAGAGCAGAATCATTGATAGATTATGTACCAGGCTCCTATATAGTATCCTACAGGATACATTTTGTTCAGTGTGTGATGAAATCCTCTCAGCTTTACTGGCTTATTGTTTGAGCTGTCTTTCTCTCAAAGAGATCAGTATATGAAAATCTATTTTCAAAAAGTTTAAGCATGTTGGAAAAGGGTGGCTCTGGTTTTAGTAGTTTTTTAGCCTTGCAAACAAATACTTAGGTGTTTGTATTCACAGGCAATTCTGGATTTCTTTTCCTTTCTTTCCTCCAACCTACACCTCTCTCCTAGTAGTATCTCTATGGGTCACTCAGGCTATCTTGGAACTTGCCATATAATCTAAGATGGCCTCAAGTGTGTAATCTTCCTGATTTTACCTCCTCAGTGCTTGAATTACTGACAGCTATTTTATAGCCATATTATAGTTATTTTATAGCCATTATTTATTTGAAAAGTCAGGTTGTGGTCTCACCAAGTAGGCCAGATGATCTGAGTTTGATCTGCATGTTACATAGTCATCCTTTGAACTTCATACACAGGCTGGTAAATACACACACACACACACACACACACACACACACCATGTAGTAAGTTTGGTTTTTCCTCTTAAAGAAGCAATGCTATGAGTTAAATGTGGGGTATACATACTAAGAAGGTTGAAACAGGGAGGATCTTGAGTTCCAAGTCAGCTTAGGCTATATGTCAAGACCCTGTCTCAAAACACACACACACACACACACACACACACACACACACACACACACACTGCAAATGGACTGGTACTTTTTTTGTTATTGTTGCTTTGTTTGTTTTTTGCTTTGATTTTTGAGGCATGGTTTCATGTATCCAAGGCTGGCCTCAGACTCACTGTATAGCCAAAGATGACTATGAACTTCTAATCCTTTTGCCCCCACCTCCAGAGTGCTTGGACCACAAGCATGCAGCACTATGCTTGCACTGTGCACTGCTGGAGATCAAAGTTAGTGCTTTGTGCATGTTAGGCAAGCACTTCACCATGAAGTCACAAGCTCACCTGAACTGGCTGAAGTCATGCTTCTTTATCTTTCTTTAAAGGTATTAGATCCTGCTTTGCTCACCCAGCAAGTATTTCCCACCCTCCCACCCATTTCTGCCTTTAGTCCTAATCCTATATCAAAGGAAGAGGTCCTTCCTAATTTAAAGGCGTAGGCTGGGCAAATAACTTGGTGGTGGGGTGCTTGCCTAATATGCACACAGTTCTGATTCAATACTGAGTATCACACCTTTCATACACACAAAGCCACAGTACTCTGAAGATTTAGCATTGGGGTGATGATATTTGTAGAGCAAACATTGAAATCACCATTATTTAACTTCCTTCAAAGGAAGTGATATGGGATCGTGATAACTATTTGAAGTGGAAATACTCATGTAAAGAGTTAGTTGATAAAGTCAAATCACCAAAAAACTGTAATCTTGTGGTAATAATAGTATGAACTTGGTTAGGTGTATGCATTCATTCATCAAGATTGATTGACTCTTATGGGTATGTATAAATCACTTGATAAGAAGTTATTGGGATTGGACATAAAATACAGAATCTCTGCTTAGAGAATGCATAATCAACAAATTAGTTTTATGAATGGTTATGAGAAGGAGAGGGAAAATTGTTAAGTGTTGTATATAGCAAGAAGAGAAGA